ATTCCATTATCACCCATTAAAAAAAAAAAAAATAGCGCTCGCGTAAATAACTGTTATGGTGAGCGTACGGCTGACTAGCTAGTTCCTCGACTCAACGAACTACCCACCGATGTTCGAGATAATATTACTATTAGCAACATCAAATGTAAATTAAAACGACACTTCTTGCATGATTCTAATACAATTTAAATAATTTGAATGTATTTAGTATTAATATAAACCTACGTGGTTTCTGAATGCTAATGTAACATGATTTCTGTAACTTTGTATTTTTATTGATAATAAAAAAAAAATTAAATTCACCTTTGCAGTAGTTTATCACCAGTGGTGACATATCCAACAGTAAGATTGGACCTGGTAGCTCTGGATGGTGGTACTCTAATTAAAGAACCATATCCAAGCCCCAGTAGGCACAGTAACAGCAGTGGCAGCAAGTTCTTCATCTAAGAAAATTATCTGCAAAAGATAATGATAAAGATAGAGATTTATCGAGCAAGAATGAACGAAGATGTCGGTAGGGGCCACCCTAGACGGAGGTATGTCGACCAAATAGGCGACGTGCTTAAGAAGGGCCAAATTAAAAGTACCCGTAACCAGCGAGCGTGTATGAAAAGATCGATGAATGTGGAAGAAGCGAAAGAGGTTTGTTTGAATCGAAGCATTTGGCGTTCCATTGTTTCTGCCTACCCTAATGGGAGACAGGCATGACAGATATGTATGTATGTATGTATGAATTATAAGTCCAGTGACTAGTAGCGTCTTTAACTTATTACAAAGTACCAATAAAAACTAAAGCTCGCAAAATAGATACTAATAAAGAAAAATAAATCAACAAATCATAGTGAAAAATAATAAATTAACAAATTATCAGATTATAATATTCTTTTTTTTATGGATGAAAATGGTATGGTAACCCCGCCTGTGCTAACGGTATACGCTGGCGGAGCACCAGTGAAGGGTGATAAATGGGAATGAAAACAGGCCAGTTAGCCCATCATGATGAATTCATCAGGAATTAACCATGATAGTTTCCAGGGAGAACCGCGAAGAGGTCGACCTGGTTGGGTATATTGCTAGCAACGGGATCCTCAGTCTCCATTACTAACAATCCCTTTCCCCCAGATTATAATATACTTTATTTATATAATATATATATAGACTATATACATGTACATGGGAAATATATACGAAAAATTTATATGTAAATTCCCAGTAAGAGCAATAGATGCCAAAACCATCATGTTTAGAAATTTTGTCTGTCTGCCTGTATGCATGTTTGTTCTGACATCACGCAAAAACTATTGCATCAAACTGGATGCGGTTTTCCAATTTTGTGCCTGAAAGACTAACTTAATTTTTTTTTTATACTACTTAGAATGGCAAACAAGCTGACGGCCCACCTATTGTAAAGTGGTAACCGTCGCCTATAGACATGAGCAGTACAATGGACATAACAGAGTATACTGTTTCGCCCATGATACCCCCCATGCGGTGCCATTCCTGAGAACTCAGATGTTGTTCCTCTGTACTCAGTAAATTCACGCCAATTTAAAATCTAGTGTAAATTTTATCTTGACACGCCATCTAGAAGTGAGCTATTTTCCTACTTTGAATCCACGGGGAAAAAGAGATTGTTAATAATTGGCGAATATTCCCTTTCTAGCAATATTCCGCGTCAGGTCGGCCTCCGCGCGGTCCCCCTGGAAACCATCGTGCTGAATTCCATGTGTACTCATCACGATGGGCTAAGTAACCTGCCTTCATCTCACCTATCATACCTACCCTCACTGCAGCACACTCACAGCGTACTTAAATAAAAAAATAATCTTATTATTAAAAAAGAAAATAAAATCGCGTCCATTAAAGGAAAGTTCTATAATTCTTCTACTATTTATCCTTATATCTATCTATTTGAAATACCTTAAAATACTTACTATGACTTTGTTTGACTATGAAGTGATACACACTGATGCCTGTTTATCACAAAACACTTGTGAATGTTATATATATAATAAAAACTAAAGATAAGACTTATCTATGATAAGATAATAAACAATGATCTGTTTTTATTATAATAATAAGTAAGCAATAAATAAAGATTCCCACGTAAGTAATATAAAACTGACTAAATAGAGTGATGATATAAGTTTTTTTTATACAACTTAGAATGGCAAACAAGCTGACGACCCACCTAATGGAAAGTGGTAACCTTCGCCTATAGACATGAGTAGTACCATAGACACAACAGATACTGTTTCGTCCATGATACCTACCATGCGTTGCCATTCCTGAGGTCTCAGGTGTAATTCCTCTGTACCTTGTAAATTCACTGCCATATCCCACCCTTCAAGCCGAAACACAGTCATGTAAACACAACTGCTTTACGGTTGAAACACGAATGGGACAGAGATTTTCAAAGATTTAGGTTTCTTATCTCTTATTCATTTTTCTTACTGTTGTTGTTTTAAATTTCGCTTAAATCGAACAGGCAAAGATCATGGTCTGTACAGCCTAGTCACGTTTTCTTCTTGGAAATATCAGGCAGCGGTTTTCTTTTTTAAATTATACTTGTTCATAGTTCGCATAGGCAAAGCGCAAATTATATCTAGCATGGCGCGCACACTGGCGATTTGGCTAGCTTCCAACACCGGATGGTAGTCACGTATACCGACCACGTAGTTTGCAATTTAACTTTATTGGATCGGAAGCTGTTATGCGACAAAATAAATGTTTAATATTACTCTTTCACAAGTACCGCGGGGCACACAGCAGATTTTTAGAAGTTTCAGATTTATTGGATTCCAGTCACGTGAACATATAATAGTTGTCACTGTTATTTATTAGGGTTTTAATACAGAGTAAATAATCACTATATTATGAGGAGTTGACAACACCCTTATATTTACGAAGCCTGGAAAATGAATGTATGTTACCATTTCGAAACAACAACACAATGAGAATAAATGAATATTCACAGCGTTTCTTTTTAATGAGTAAAACCCGCTTACGCTACCAGAATACGCTGGTAGGGCACAAGTAAGAGATGTCAGAATGAAAGCGGGTTAGTAACCCCATCGTGACGAATTCAAGAATCAACGACTATGGTTTCCCGAAGGAACCGCGTGGAGATCGACCTGTAGGCATATAGCTAGCAATGAAGCTGTTAGACCCCATTAATTTATAGTGTTGCACCATTATCAAATTTTTGTTCCAAGAGACCCAAGTCTTAGTTTGCTAAAAACGGGTCAAATTTTTATCCATGTTTCGTGAATCAGGTTTCCATAATTTATATTTATTGTTAAGTATATAGGTGAAAGAATATTTAAAGTATGGTTTTGTTTTTAATAAATTGAAAATGTGCGCCATACATGAATATTAATTTATATTTTTAAATTATATCACATAAACAATTCTTAATTTAAAAATCGCCTGGTTTGGGAAATTTTTAATGTAATTGAAAAACAACATACAGCAAATCTGAAAAAGAAAAAAGTTTGTTTTAATTTAAAAAAAAACTTATGTCGACCAATTTGCTGTGTGATCTATATAATGTAAAATATATACATAAATACAAGAATAACTTTATCTATGTAGTAATAATAATCTATATTAAATAAAATTGTTAGTCTAGGCATATTAAACAATATATTTCATCTCTGTTTCATATTGAACATCAGTATCACACTTTTGCTCTTATCTCTCATCATGTGTACAGTTTTACAGAAGAAATTTACTTGTGAAATAAAATGTAATATTGTAAATATAAATTTGTTTATTTCCACAAAAAAAAAACATTGACTTTAATTGTTGCAATATTGTAGTAATTTGTAATAAATATTTTTTTATTCACAACAATTCATAATTTATATAATGTAACTTTTTAAAAAAGTAACAGCTGAATTTCTTGCCCTGAGTATATCCTGGCTGATATTACGTTCTTAATGAGCGGTAGAATCATTAAAATATTCCTATTTTTAAGTTTATTTGAATAAAAATATTTCATTCTTTCTCTTTTTTCTTTGCAATTGTGAGAAAATAACAATGGTTATTATAAAATTGACTAAGGCTTCAAAAACATCCTTGATACAATTCTTACACGGTACAAATTGATAAAACGTCACCTACCTCCCGCACAATGCTCAATACAACGCGCGGCGTATAAATTATAGAAACTTCCAGAAACATTTTTTCACACAAAAGCTTATATAAGATCACTTTGTTAAGAAAGTCGCTCTAGATACCTACGGGAAGTTAAAACGAAGAGCAGACTTTTTCTAGTTGAAAATTGCTTCCCATTCACTTGGATATGTCTTGGGACAACAATAGCGAGATTGGACTTGGGAAGTTTTACAATTTATTTATTCTTTATAAGCTATTTCCCGCGACTTTACGCGCGTCTTTCAGTATATAAAGTATTCCATGTGTTAAATTAAGACATAACCTATACGTCTACTGAATTTAATTCAAATCCGTTCAGTAGTTTATGCGTGAAAGAGTTACAAACATCCATCTTCCCAAATATCCTTACAAATCGTATATGTGGTAGTAATATGATTTACCTTATTTACTGAAATATACTAAACTAATTAAAAGGTAAGGAGGTTTCTTCAGAGTCGGCTACGCACGCGTAATACCTCTGGTATTGCAGGTGTTCATAGGCTGCGGTAACCACTTACCATCAGTTGAGCCGTATGTTTGTTTGCCACCTCAGTGGTACAAAAAAAAACATTATGAAAAGCCAAACTGCGGTTGCCAACCCACCTACCAAGCTTGGCAATTACTGGCAACCCCCCTCCCCCTTATAGGGGAGGCTATGTTCAGTAGTGGACAGTTGACGACTGTTACAACGTTTTACTAATAACTTGTAATAATAATAAGTGTAATTAAGTACACAATATTCAAAATATGTAAATGAAAACTAATACATAGATGAATTAAAACTGTAGGTTAGAGACAGTTTATAATATTATTAATAAAAAATTATCATTTGTTTTCAACAGGCTGTGTCAGATTCGATGTTGGTCGAGCTCAAAGCCTGCTTCATGGAGGCATATGACGACAACCAAGACGGAAAAATTGATATAAGAGAGGTAAGGAAATAATATATTATATATCTAGGTACATATTTCCAAATCTCTTTATTTACCACCGACTTTGAAACAGAACCTCCTTTACTAAGTCGGTTAAAAATAACACAAATCGACAAAAGGTAAAAACCGTAATATAATTGGCAATTCAAAACCGATTTGAGTTTTTTTTTTGCGAACTGATATCAAACTAAGTATAATGTCGTTTAAAGATTCAAGTTGATTTTGTACGACTTTAAAAAAGAGGTTCTGAATCTATGTATTTTTCCAGTATTATATATCAATTATATATTTATATTCAAATATTATAATAAAATATTTTACTTTATTCTTGCGCCACCTACCCACTTCTATATGTTCTCCTTTAACCAAAGGTTATCCCTTCTTTGCATGATTTTTTTCATTGGTGAAATAAATCAAGGTGATATAATTCATGTTTAAAATTAAAGGAAAAATGGTTAAAAAAATAATTTGACAGCTAATTTTTTTTTCTGCAATAGACATTAAAAAGGTATTCAGACACGATCAACTTAAAGTGAACTTGTTTTTTTATATAATTTTTGGGTATTCAATGTTATGATGGAAATTTCCACCATTATGCAAAGAATGGTTAAAGGTAGTAATGGTTAAAGGTAGTAAAAATAAAGATGGTAAAAAGTCTGTAAGAGATCGCCCTAGCGATAAGACCGCCTTTTGTACCTTTATGTACCTATATAAAATATTTTAATCTGTAATTTATGTTACTGTATTTCACTTGAATTTTTCAATTGTTATATATGTTTCTGGTGCAATAAAGAGTTAAATAAATAAATAATCATCATAATCATTTATGTTGTTTATTATTTATTTTTTACATTTATGTTTTAACAGTTATTATCTTTACCTATCCCATTAATGAAGTACCGCGTTCGTGATTCATTAACCGTCCCAAAGATTTTTTTTTATACAACTTAGAATGGCAAACAAGCTGACGGTAGATTGACAGGTAGAGCCTTTTGTACCATATTTTCTTTTGGTCAATAAAGTTATTTAAATAAATAAATAAAAATTATATCTTCTCGAATACAGAGTTGAAATTGAAAATTCTTTTAAACAGATGTATTCGACGGAAGTTTATAAAATATATTTACTTATTTATAAATACTCGGAATATTTGTAAATAAGTAAATAGGTATATTAACTATGTTTTTTTTATACTAGAAAGATGGCAAACAAGCATACAGCCCGTCTGATGGTAAACGGCCACTGTAGCCTAATATTATACTAATATCTAATGTAACATTAATTATATGTTTATGTTTACAGTTGGCCCAGCTACTTCCGATGGAAGAGAATTTCTTATTGCTCTTCAGATTTGACAACCCGTTGGAATCGAGCGTCGAATTTATGAAAGTATGTATAATTACAATTTTTTTAATGATTAAATATTTAACTTACCAAAGGGAGAATTTGTACAAAAGTCGTTTGCTTAGGCACCTCTGTCCCATTCGTGTTTCTACCGTGAAGCAGTTGTATTTGCATAGCTGTTTTCGGTTTGAAGGGTGGGATATGTTAGTAAATTTACAGGGTACAGAGGAGTAACACCTGAGTCCTCAGGAATGGCAACTTGTCAAGCCATCTTATTGTCTGCGGAGGAGGCCGCTCGCCCGACTCGCCCGACTCTCGGCTCGCCGTCTTTTTCTTTATTAATTATTCACTGCATTATTCTACCCTCAACAGCAACGCATGAGGAGTATCATGGGCAAAACAGTATACTCTGTTATATCCATGGTACTGCTCATGTCTATAGACGACGGTTACCACTTTCCATCAGGTGGGCCGTCAGCTTGTTTGCCATTATAAGTTGAATTTTTTTTTGTAGATATTAACATTCCTTATCCATTAAATACTAAACGAACAATGAACATTAAATGTATATTTTTCTATTTAATCATAATAAATATTTACTTTTTGTGGTTTATCGTTTATTTTATGACAGCCAGTGTACCGTTTATATGACATCATTTAACTATTTATACATCATATAATTGGATACCGTTTTCTGATTATATTTTCCGGGCGCGACATTTTTTCCGCACATTTTTTTCCTCACATATTTCAACAACATAAAAACTATTATATATTAAATTATTATGCAATACGATGGAAAAAATATCGCAGAAAAAAATTACCTATTTACCTACCTACAATATTTAACATATTGTAGAGTGTTTTAATTTAATCTTCATCGTAGTACAGTATTATAATTGGGAAGGATATTAAAGAGTGCGTGAATAAGTGCGATGCTTTTCTCGCAATATTGAAGAAAAAAATATAATTTTGGAATAGCTGCGTGAAAAAAATCGTAATGCATATTAAGAGCGTTAATAGCGAAGTATGGTAAATCGTATGTAGCCTATGATTAACGTTTTATTTTATAAGTAGAACACTTTTGTTTTTTTCAATAAAGGGGTAAAGAGTTTTCTATAGGAGGGTAACACGTGCGTAATGCCCCTGGTATTGTAGGCGTTCATAGGCTACGGTAACCGCTTACAATCACATGGGCCGTAAGCTTGTTTGCCGCCTCAGTGGTATAAAAAAAATCTATTTTAAATTTTCGCATTGTTTACATGTATTTAAATACACTATTGGGACTTAACGCAATGAAAAAATTTTATAGGTAAAAGGTGTATACCTTATTTATTACCCAAGTTTACATTACCTTAAGTCCCGATAATGTATTTCCCGATATATAATGTCCCGATAATTCCTTAATTGTTTTTTATTAATTATGACATAAGGGAGTCCATTTTTGACCAGTTGCCTAAATATATATGTTCGCAAGTTCTTTTTGAAACAAAATTTTTTAAGTACAATATAAATTAATAGAAGCGATTGAAACAAATCATTTTTTAATTACTTACTCGCTGTTATTACGGGCCCTTCGCTCCGAGTTCAAGTCGACCTATATTAATAAGTCTGTAGAGCCGACAATTCGTCACTGTCATGAAAAAGACATTATAAAACAAATTATTTCAGAGAGGCTACATATTTTTAACTGTTCTCAAAAGAGAAAATGTTGACAATTCGATTGTATCTTCTTTCTTATTGTTATTATAAGATTTCATGCCTTTTTAATGTAGTTTCTCTTCTTGTATTTAAACAATGACTTATAGGAGTGTGAAGTAATTCAATTACTATTTTTTTTTTATCATAAAATTGGATTCTTGTGTCTCATCTATGTAGACAATAAGACAAGGGAATAATAAAAAGATTTAGAAAACATTTAAGTAATAATAAATTAGTAATATTGTACCTATTCAATATAATAATATATTACTTGTAGACAATTTTTTTCAACATGACCTCGATTTTTTTTTTATAACATTTATATAATCAAGCCTACATCAAAATACATAATAATAATAGTAAATTATAGACGAATATTTTGACTATTACAAACCATAAACAAGATAGATTTTTTTTATGCTTACACACGTGGCATAGACAGCCAATTAGATGCGAGTTCCCATAAATGTGAGAATGTATTCAGTAACATTTCGCAACAACACAAGGGGCTTTATTTAAAACATAATATTCGAAATTCCAATTCCGGGAATTTTGTATTAATTCAAATATCCAATTAACACGCCGGCGATGGAAAACACCGATAAGGATAATCATTACATACGCTCGTGAGCACATTTTTCCCAATTTGAATTATAATTTCGCGGCCATTGTTAGCAAATTGACTGACAAATTGTTCGCAGATATGGCGGGAATATGACACGGATGGCAGCGGCTACATAGAGGCTGACGAGCTTAAGGTGAAAAATTGAAGGTCGTTTTTATTGATGACACGGCTATATTCAGAGTATTTGGACGCTTGAATTGTTTTAGGAAGGATCCTATTTATTATTCTGTTTAATTATTTATATAACCGACTTTAAAAAGTAGAAGTTCCAAATTCGGTTATATTTTTTTTTTATGTTTGTTACCTCATAACTCCGTCAGTCATGAACCGATTTGGAAAATTCCTTTTTTTTTAACTGAAAGGAATACATTACAGAATAATCCCATATAAGTTTTATCAAAATCGGTTTATATTTTTAGTTTTCAAATTAAAATAACTGGTTTTGAATTGAAGTGGATTTTCTGTGCAATATTTTTGTGAAATATTTTCATTCAAGTAAACTTAGATTTAAGCATTTTTGATTAGTCATTTTTTCATTTCCGCCCAAATGAAACACATTTTCAGCCAAAAAAAAAACGGGCAAGAAATGAAAAATGCTTTAGTAAAAAAAAAATAATTACATTAATATTAAATTTGTGTTAATACAAACTACGAAACAGTATCAGATCAAATTTAAAATATATAGTAACACATAAAATTTAAAAACAGATAAAATTTAAAATATATAGTATATAAATGTATTAATAAAGTTAAATTATTACTATTACAGAATTTCCTTCGGGACCTGCTGAAAGAGGCGAAAAAAATTAACGACGTATCTGAAGATAAACTGATTGAATACACAGACACAATGGTAACTGCTATTCGAAAACATAGCTCGTTTCAAAAATACAGTCTCCGTCTTCAAAACACCCTGATACTGTGTGGACAGCCCTATGATTTTAGACCATAAATCAGGGTTTCTTAAACTTTTCTTGTAGTCACAGATTACTTTCACAATTTAAACAATTCCACGAACTCCTGTCAAAAACATTTAAGTTAGGTCCTAAAATTTTACAAAAGACTAAGACTAAGCGCATAGCCTAATGATTATCTTTATCTACATACATATCTCTTGAATTCGCCACCTAACAACATTAATACGTCTCATTGAGATTACTACATACTTTTCTAATAAATATTTTCGAGGCTAACTAAATACACATGCTAGGAACCCCTAAGAAATCCGTGGACCCTACTTTAAGAAACTCTGCCATAAATATCTACGTAGTATTCGATTTAAGAAGAATTTTTGATACATTAATTATAGCAGTGCATTGATGTGAACGGCAAAAATTGTTAAAACAGCGATTGTTGTTTTAACAATTTTTACCTTCTCTTTTATCAACCGTTCCAATTTTGCCGCTCTGGGCATTATTTTTTATTGTACGTCAAAAAAAATAGGTATATCTACTCGTAATAACAATATGTCTGACTCATATTCCATCTGTCTCATTGTTAAATTGATAAAGATTGATGGTATATCTATATATAGATTTATCTATATGTATAGATTGGCTAATAGAGCACTAACTCCACTTTTTGTACCCCATTTTACAGACCAATAAAGTTTAAATAAAAAAAATGCTAAAAATTATTGATACCCATAAATTCCTCTGTCTACCACTATTCGACTAGATGCAATGACGACCTCAAATACATTGCAGGGAGTCAGTGATTGCAGGTAGCTCAGGACCGTTCCTTATGGCAATCCATCGGGAAGGCCTATGTCCAGCAGTGGATAGATAGCTGCAATGATTATTTCCTCTCTTTCCGTGAGTAGGGAAAGTAGATAAAACCTTATTTAAGAAGTCAGTTCAGGGTACGATAGGGCTGATGTATCAGAAAAGGGCTTTTAGCCCTTAAATTTTAAAAAAATAATAAATAAATAAATAGATTGACGATTGATATAGAAATCCTGTCGTCATGTAAACTATAAAAATAAATCAAATCTAACCCAATTTTTGTCTTTTTTTCTTACAGCTACAAGTTTTCGATTCCAACAAAGATGGAAGATTACAACTGTCTGAAATGGCAAAGTGAGTAATGTAAACTAATTTAATTTGCCATTAATGTTTTTTTGTACTATTGGCAATTAATCTCAATTAGATAATAACGAATGGCTCTGTTTTTATTTTCTTTGTGAAGAGTACGTGAATTAATGAATGAATAATCTTTATTGTACCCTTCAATGAAAGGTATAGTTATAAAGTGGCATTTTTTATATTAATGTACATTTTATAATTAATTAGCTTTTGCCCGCTACTTCAAACGGTTTGATTTTAGAAGTAATCAAATTTTATGTTTATTTATTGTTACAAAAATTTAAAATTACTGAAAATATGTTCTATTAGCATTCAGAAATCACGTATTATATTAATGCTGAATACTTTGAGACTAATTAATAGATTTTAAAAATGGTAAAATAATTTCTAGTGTTAAATACACTAGTTCCTAAATTACTGTACTGAGACCTTTCTAAAGACAACGCTACTCGTAAATTGAAGTCTAACTACATTCATTTTATGAAGGTAGCCCAAAATTAGATCAATGTCGAATTTCCCATTCAGAACTATTTGAGTCCTTGGATTAATTAATTAAATTTTACTCAGCGAACTAGGAACAATTCGAATTAAAATATTTCAATAAATATTTATTTTTAAACTTTTCCTCGATTAAATGTCACCGTGTAGACACCTTTTACGATTAACTAGCCGTACCCCGTGATTTCGCTCGCATGTATCAGTATATCTAGTATAAAGTATCCTCTATGCTAAATTAGAATATACCTAACTCATGTATCAAATTTTATTCAAATCCGTTCAGCAGTTTTCGGGTGAAAGAGTGACAAACCCATCGTTACAAACTTTCGCATTTATAATAATAATAATAAACTCTTTATTGCGTACAAAAGAGACGTACACAAGGAGTATACAGAAAGTGCATATTCGAAAGGCGGCCTTAACGCTAAAAACAATATGTAAATTTCTTACCTTTATAATATTAATTTTATATTAAAAATGCCTCGCATTGATAATATTAGTTTTTGCAATATCGAAACGTAATTGTTGAAAATGACATTTGGCGCCAACACTATCTGTGAATCTCTGTGGATATTAGACGAGCGTAATCATACTTCTTATTCTTACTAATAAACTAAAATTGTAACTAAACAATCATCTCCCATGTATAGATGTACATAAATATTTAAAAAAAAAACTGATATAAGAAATCTTTATTAGAACAATAGACAGCAAAACTTTTTTTTTTAAATTGACTGTCTATGTATATCTTTATTTTTGTAGCACACAAAAATCTTTTACACCAAATTAGAAGCGTCTTTCACAGTTGTATTTCTGACGATCTAACTTAAAAACTGATGTATATTTTATCTCGATACATCATCTATAATAGATCATTCCTTTAATTTTTCTACTTCCAAAATGCACGCTTACCTACATATTTAATACCAATACATTTTGATATAGATTGTCTTATAAAGTTAATGATAATTGAATTATAAATGAAGAATGATAATGATGAATTACAAGTATTTCTAGTAAATAATAATAACGTTTATTTATAAGCTCTAATTACACACATAAAATTTATAAAGAAAAAGAAAGAAATCATAGTTTTCGCGACAATATTGTGGGAAAAATTATACCAGTGTGTGCCGCAACATCACAAAAAGGCCACAATTCAGTGTGTGTAGCGTTACCCTATTGGACAAAACATTGGTTTTCTGCTATGACTTGTACTCACTCATAAGATGCGTTTACGTACAATCTAGTGATTGTGCAAACCGTACAATCTAGTGATTTAGTCTGTCAATCAATCACGATAAGTCCTTTTCAAGAGACTTAAAAAGGACGAAGTTCACAATTTGTTTGTAATTTTTTTGTTACCTTATAACTCCGTCAGTTATGTACCGACTTGAAATATTCTTTTTCATCTGAAAGTATTAACTTTCAGGTTAATCTCATAGAAATTTTATCAAAATCAGTCTAGTAGTTTAGTTTATAAACCAAAATAAGTAGTTTTACCACAATTGAAGTCAGTTTTAGGGTTCTGTACCAATAAGGTACAACAAAAAGCAAAAGAAAATTTATTTATTATACCTAAGCTGCATAGTAACGTGAAAGTATTTTTATTTAGTCATATTTGGAGCGTTAAAGTAACTAAAGATAGATTTTTAAAAGACGAATGTATGCACACGATTTTTATGTCATAAAGTATACTTAGTAAATACAACATATCTACATAAAAATAATTTGTAACTACGAGTATTTTTATGTGAAATAAGGCAATAATAATATAATAAGATACTGTTACTCAAATACGAATAGATAAAGCGTGAGTGATGTCTCTGATATTGCAAGATAGTCTATCGTCATACTATTGACGAAGAAGCGGGCATTGTATAAAAATGTTGAACATTAATGTTTTATTAATCCAATATATCAGCAGCTGTTGTCGCTTATAATTCACATCGCTACATACATAAATTTTTTATATTCTACTCTAGACTAAGGAAAAAGTCATAAACGAGGCGTCCTTCGATATTTTTTTTTGTTAAAAATTAATTTATCCTGTACTTGGTATATATAAAGTATTTTTGTTCATAAGATTTTTTATCTACATATTTAATGTCATGTTTGCTGACGTATTGTATTAAAATTGGAAAGACTCTTTGAATATTTGTATAAGCATATAATAAATTTATAGCTTGTATTTTAATTTTTAATAGTATTATTTTTAATAAGTTTCAAAGTATATGTAATAAAAATAGAATGACGCTATATATTTCCTGTCAGTGGTATTCTCTATTGATCTGTCTAGATCAAGAGTAAGGTCTTCCCGACCATTGCAGTTTCTGAACAGTCTCTCCTCCGCAACTGCAGTGTCCCTCTTTCTCTTTTCTCCAGAATAATTTTTCATTCCTTTTTATCAACTTTCTTTCTCTCCCTCCTATTTCCTTAATTCTTTCCTCCATACCTTAGATAACAGATAGCACCAATAAATGCATTTCGAAAGAAGGTTAACATCAGGCAAACGTCCGATTATAAAACCAAAATCCAAAAGCATAAATAATATGAATCAAATGATATTATTCCGACCCCAAATAATTTGAATTAGGACAAGAGGATGACGACGATGGTGATAATAATAATGCCAGATATTTCCTGAATGATACTGTACAAAATGACCCACTGAGGTACCTATATGTCACTCATGTCTTCCAGTGTGAAGGTTGTTATATTACAGCAGTGAAATTACTAGGTACGGAGTATTTATCATATCAATCCTCAGGATTTCCAAATATAAAGGGGAATACCATAGAGTATTTTGTTATTATTATATAAACAGGGTCATTAAGACTCTGTTGATACTAAGCGATGGCCACCCTCTCTGTCATATAGGCCATCAGCTTATTTGTCGTTTCAAATTTATGTAGGATTTTTTTTTATCTCATGCTCTAATATGTATTTAGTCTTAATCAAACATTTCGATATCTTAATATTTTTTACTTGAATGTTTACAGACTACTGCCTGTCAAAGAGAATTTCCTCTGCAGACAAGTGTTTAAGGTGAGTGACAGTGACATTTCATTTCCCGCCAAAGTTTCCCGCTATAATTGCGACGCCATTTAACCGTTTAATACATTATGTATGCGTTTCTGTCTGCCCTTTAACATATCGAATTCATTATTAACAGTACTAATCAAATTTATAGTAGATAATACTTACTACTTTAGGTTACGCATTGTTCTTATTATAAGTACTGACTTACTGCCTGTTATTAATTTTATATTATAGAACCTACCTTTTTCGTAGATATGAATTCAAATTTCATGAACGTACCTGATTGATCTTTATCGAATTATTATTTATAGCTGGTAACTTAAGCAAGTCATGCTCACTAATAATGTTGGGCTACATAAAATATGGTTGAACGCATTGATGACTGGCTCATATCCGTCATAGTCGTGAACGGGTGCTACTTTTGTATATTTTACTAAAGTTTTACCACTATCTACTGTTGATTACTATTTCCAACCAACTTCAAAAAGAAGGAAGTTCTAATATGGTTGTATTTTTTTTAAGTTTGGTGCCACATAGCTCCGTCAGTTGTAAACCAATTTGGAAAATCTTTTTTTTTTTTAAAGGGTATACTTACAGATTGGTTCCATACAAATCTTATCAAAATCGGTTTAGTAGTTTAGTTTTTAAATCAAAATAACTGGTTTTGCTACAATTTAAGACTGTTTTTTTTTTTTTTTGGAACACAGTCTTAATTATTTTATTTCTTTTAAATATATTATTACTAGCTAATTTAATGGCAATTTATTTTACTCAAAACGAATTTTCCCAACTACTTGACAAAATTATTTGATAAATGTATGTACTGTTTAGAGTTACTAATATACTAAAGAGATTCCTATATGGGATAAGTCTGCTATTGTATGTTAAATCTTATTAATGAACCCAATTTAAAGTACGTGCGTACAAATAAAGAAGTGTTGCGTATAATGAAATAGATAACTGAAGGTTTCTATCAAGATATTTACTGTGAAAACAATTTTTTACTATTTCTTAATGTAAGCAGGTTCCAAATAAACCAATGAAGAAACCAAATAAGTTTTATTTTAAAAAAGAAGAATTTTTTTATTAAAATATAACTTACAGAAGTCGTCAGTCATATTAGGCGGGAACAAGGAGAAGCGACAAGAAAACAATCTTTTTCTTGCTCACATCAAGAAGAAGTAAAAAAATCTTTGTTTTATAAATATTTGATTATATCCAATATTATAACTTGTAACCAATATTGAAATCGATACTTAAACGGGCAGCTGTTCATCGATTCACGTCTCGACTTCTCAACTCGAATGAAAAGCTACTTTCATTACCGCGAACAACTACTTGTACCGAATATTTTATTTGTGTTACACGAAATACAACTGTAACACGAAATGAATAAGGTACATTTTGTCGATATCAACATTATCTAATTCATTTCACGGACAAATATCGACTTGTATTAAGTATTGTTTGCCGTGTTATTTATTTTAGGGTGATCAAAAGATTTTTCACAAAACGTAGATTCAATTTATTTTCCATAAACGCTTTTTACACGAAGGGCATGTTGATTTGATATGTCATAGCTATATTGTTTTTTAATTTATGCTAGCACTGTTACAATATTATTTTACATCGTCAATTATTATTACTGTAGATACCTACGTATTAGTTTCGTATAAATTTCAAATAGGTATAATTTAGTTTGCTTACATTAAAACATATACACCTGCTCATTAACATTTTCATTCAGTACATTTACATTAAAATCATTATAAAAAACATATAGTGTTTAATCTTACACTGACCATAAACTCATTAATATTGTGAAATCATTAAGCATCTTCAATTTAGTCATATGGGAACTAAGAAATAAATATCTATAATCTTAAATATCTATTAAATAAATATCTATTATCTATAACTTGAAAATATATTATAATATGTTATTATGTCACAATTTGGCTGAGTACTAAATTTATGACCATCTTAAAATTTTACAGATAGGTAATATAAATTATAGAGTACCATAAAACCAATAGATATGTAGTAATATATATATATATATATATATATATATATATATATATATATATATATATATATATCTGCAACAAAGGCAAAATGGTCTCTAATAAGTGAAATTTTCATAAAATACACGTAACCTCTACCTAAAAGAATCACTGAAACAACTACACTAAATGCTGTTTATGTAAAATTATTAAAGACTTCTGTGAAAGTACTGACTCTTCTAGCATGCAATGAAACGTACTGTGGTTTGCCTGTCTTCTGTCTGTCCTAACACTGATGCTTGTCTTGCACTGCACACACTAGGAGGGCATAGAGGTGAGTCCTCGGTCTACTAACGCCTTTGCTTTATGCTAATAAAAATACAGCATTCTGCATTATGGTCATTTCATCAAAGATGGCGCCTGACGATTATATAAAAAAATATTAATATTCCCAAATTTATATATATTTTTAATTAAATAGGAACGCGTTTATTATACCTACAGTTTATATATTAATTTACAGCATATGTAATAAATAAGCAGTCGCCATCTTGCCGTTATCTGAATATTAAATAAACGATAATATAATTAAAGGTACTGTCCTTAATTGTTAATAAACAATCATTATCTATCTAATTTTAATTAAATATTCAGGTACATTTGTATTTATATATAATTGTTAACATTCACAGCTTTTGTGACGTTGAAATAAGTATTTTATACTTTTAAAAGGATTGTATTTAGAATTAATAGTTATTGTAACTGCGCATTAAGTAAAAAATATAAAAGTAGTGTTAGCATGGCTATAAACTAAATACGTACCTAGGGTCGTACACATAGTTAAATGATTTGTGAAGTAGATATTATATTTAGAGTATATTTATAAATAGCAATTCCATAGTTATCACCATTTGCTTTACAAAAATGAGATCCTAAATTCGAATCCGAAAAATTCCAGAAACGAACATTTCAAAAATAAGTATTAATATTCAGACTAATACCCTTCATTCTATGTTTGTGTTTATTGTAACATAGGGTTCTTAACTCGAGAATCAAGCAATAAATGTGTTTCTGTGGTATCCTCACGAACATTTAGTGTAAGTCTCGCACACATACAAATGGTTGAAAAAATTAAACAAAAGAACACTAATTCTGAATTAGTTTTCTTTTGATTTTGGTAATTCCACTTATTTCTATGTCCATTACTTTATCTTTTTTTTCTATTCTTAATAGCACTACCCTATAACTTACTTTCCTTAATACCTACCGATTTCTTCCACCTTTATAACTTAACTTCTATTGCAGATCATAAACGTACACTTATATTTTAAAAATGTACTTCTCCCTCGCCTGACTTTATTGACGTAAACCATTTTAATTTTAAATTTTAAAATAGTTAATAACTTCTTAATACAGTAGTATCACAATGGACAAAAGCTTCATTCATAAACTGAAAATAACTTCAAGATTGTTTCTAACAATTTTTAAATAATTTATGAATTTAAATGTAACACGATCTTTAAACTTTTTGCCGTTATTATCATTGAATTTTAATGTGGAATATGGGCGAAACAGTATACTCTGTTATGTCCATGGTACTACTCATGTCTATAAGCGACGTTTACTACTTTCCATCAGGTGGGCCGTCAGCTTGTTTGCCATTCTAAGTTGTATAAAAAAAAGGATATATTTTTTTTTTAATATGAATATAATTTTTCTCATCAAGTTATATAGGTTATAAAAGAATGACGTTTAATGTCCCATGTTGGGCGCCAATTAAAATATGTATAATAAATATGTTAATTTACAAATATTACAAACTTTTATATATATTTCATTTATAATAATAAATACAAGGGAATACCCTTAATACGATATGTCCATCATGCAATTCACTACGTATCCCCAAACAAAGTAAAGATTGTTCTGTGAATAAATACTAAACAATAGCTAGATATATCTACTTAAATACATTTCATTTCGTATAAACAATGGAGTACCTACGTAAAGTAAACAAATGCTTATAAATAGATAGTATTCATGTATAAAAATATTTGTTTGTATTATACGGGAATGGAGTCTACAACTTAGGAATGTTAGGCAGTCTATAAAACTTCAATCAAAAAACACACAGGTACATTAAAAAAATGTTTTTATCTATATACACTATAATCACACACACACGTACACTTATATCTTTTTTATTATTATCATTGTTCTAATTATTTAGTCCATTACAACACAAAATCACACCTTTAATAACTTCAAAATCTTTATACTTATAACATAATCCAAATCCACAATACATATTTTTCTAACTTTATTTTGTCTTAAATTCTTTTTGCCGTTTACAAATATATTCAAATCCTTACTTATATAATTGTTTTTAAATTAATGTAATTTGTTTTATCCACAGGGCGCTACCAAACTAACAAAGGACGATATAGAAAGAGTATTCTCACTATACGATAGAGTAAGTTATTTCATAATTGCATGAAAAGTTCAATAAATTTTCCCTATCTAAAAAATATAGTGTTCAACGGTATTTGACTTTTATCAGCCTCCAATATTTTAATTTATTACAACTTGAAATACAAACAATTAACGAGTGACTTTTCCTTATAATCACAAAGCAAGTAATCACTACGTTATACTATAATGCTTATAGACAACAGACAATTTGTTACGGCTTTGGCAAGAAGTTAGATAACTTCTTACACAGATGCGTAAACCACAGACATCTCTTAATACGTGTAATCTGTGACGTCTACATAAGTACTCCTTATGTATCGCCAATCTAAGGACTGGGGTGCTATTATTAAATTATTTTAACTAATATAGATAGATCCAATGTTTATGACTTTATGTTGTTCTTTTATTTTTAAATTTCTTGTAACATCTCTTAAATCCTTGAGTCTTGGACCGTTAAATACTAGTAATTACCTCTTGTGAGATTTTATAAAGATAACATACTAAACTAAGTTCATACATAAAAATTAGTTAATCTTGCTATAAATTAGGTATACTGATTATAATTGATTAACAAAATAGATGTTTAAAACATAAACTATTCTTACTTTTGAAAACTTAATGTTAACGGATGAAATTAATTTTGTGACAGGATAATAATGGCTCAATTGAAAACGAAGAATTACGGGGCTTCTTAAAGGATCTATTAGAACTAGTCAAAAAGGTAAGTTAATAAAATGAAGGGCTTGCCTCTAAGCAGTCTTTGACGCCCCTCCCCCACCTAACTACGGGAAAAAGGTTTACCGTCTCTTACTAAGGGTCTTTAAACAAAATTATTTATTAACTGTCCTTCCCCCCCCCCCCCCCCGGGAAGGACATTCACCGGGTGAAAAAGGGATTCTTAGCAATGGAGTTTCACAGCCCTATTGCTAGCAATATAGGGTATGTTACTAGCAGCAGGGCTGGCATATCAGGTCGACCTCCACGTAGTTCCCTCTAGAAACCATCATAATTCTTGTTGAATTCGTCACGATTGACGACTGACTTGCTTCATCCTCACATATCATCCCTCACTGGTGTCCCGCCTGTGTATGCCGATAGAGCAGGCGGAGTTACAATTTCGTTAAAAAATCTGTCCTTTCTTAACGACGAGAAGAATATCATCGGAACCCCACGATGATCTTTCTATTATAGAATTTTATACGATTCTGTATTAATCCTATGATGCCTCTCTTAAACCTCAGCAGCCCTTTTGAAGCCAATATATTTTAGAGATTTTGTCTATCTGTCTGTATGTTTATTCCGGCATCACACATAGAGCGCACATCACGAGCGCTACCCGACCGGCTCCAATAATTTCAATTATTTGTTTTAGATTCAAATTGATTATCACGATAGATTAGGTATGTATCTACTATATTATCTCTTTTCCTTTTTCAGGATTACGATGCCCAAGACCTTTTAGAATTTGAGGAAACAATCCTTCAAGGCGTCGAGTACAGCAGCGATGGGAAAATTAGTAGGAAACAACTCACCATGATACTGTTGGCACTCGCAAAACACCATCAAGAAGAGGAGCCATCGACACCGTAAATAGAAACCGTATCTCACCGCCACTCCGTCCCGATATCCGAACGAATTTGTAGTAATGCGAACTTAAAATTTAATTTAGTGCTCTTTTTATTTTTATGGTAAATGCGCACAATGAATTTTTAACGCACGTTTTTTCGAGCATAATTCTTTGACATCGGAAACCACAGATATACAGAGTGAATCAAAACATGTCGGACTCTAAAAGAACGTCATTTTTAAGTCATTTTAAGACCGCGACCTAAAAACGATTGAAAAATGACCTCTTCTATACAGTCACAGACGTCATCTTACTACTTGGAAAAGGATGATAATTATTTTTATTTCACCCTATATATCTTTTAAACGTACATGCAATGGAAAGCTCGCGCCGAAAAATGTCACGCGATGGAAATTCTGTGCGTATTAACCTTTAGTTCTCAACCGATTTCACCGTTCAGTGTTTTAAGACTGTGTCGTAATAAATAGTTTTTATTGCCACAGAATACAATGCTTATATTATATATTTTAGTGACTATGTCTTGGACATTTTGTGTATTAAAAAAAAATAGATTTAAAATAACATGTGCTGTTAACTTTGGGTCAATGTTGTTGAAATAATATAGCATTAAAGTTGTCACAGGAATGTATGTGCAAATTATGTACCTTTTTATAAATACTCATCAATCAAAGCCAAATCAAATGCCAAATATTTTAATCTAGCGCGTTTTACATTTATAAATCTATTTTCATAAATCGTATAATAGAATTCTACTAGATATATATATATATAGATATCACTAAAATAATCTCCGCATACATATCATTCCAACAAATACGATACTGTAAATGATATTTCATTAAAAATAAATATCTCGGCAAAATGTATGTATTTAACAGTGGTAGATAAAGCTGTTTAACACACTAAGCGCTACCTTCTGATAATCACATGTTCGATCCTTGCATACAAACATTTTTATGTCGAATACCTCTTGTATTGGTCTCAGGGTATTTTTCTACTTATTATATGTATTTTAAAATCAATTATCCAATACTCAAAATACAAACTCTGTTTAGTTTGATACTAAATAATGTTATTTTCAAGTTTACGTACATATAATATATATATATATATATATATATATATATATATATATATATATATATATATATATATATATATATATATTATCCTATTTTTAAACCACTTTTAAATACCCTCACCTGGTCTTAAGGATCGTTAAAGTATTACATGAAATAGACAACTTTAAAACGCTTAATTCAAATGATGCAACAATCTATATTCATTCAAAATTAAATATCATATCACTTCATTGAAATAATATTTACATGTTTATATAAATTTGATAAAACCAAGTAGATCAAAATTTCCAAAGTTCCTAACGTCTTGTAGAATTTTCTGTATGCGCTTGAGCAAACAACAAAGCATTAAATACAATGTCAAAAAATTTATAAAAAAAAAAACATTTGATGTAGCTTTTATTCCTCCCTGAATGTTGTTTGCTTGCAAACTGTGTGTCTAGATTTAATAAATGGATGTAGTAATTGCACGAATAACTCTTTAAATCTAGCATTATATTTTATTAAATTAGAAATTGTATCTGTGACATACAAAAACATACATTGTGAAAAACAAACAGTTAAATAATTAATAGACAACATTACAATAAAAAGAATTACTCTTCGCCAAAACAAATGCTTATTACATATATATTGGGATTCCATTGGAATCCTATTGGGATGCAGAATTGAAATTACAGGATACAGAGGTATAATACTTTAGTCCTCAAGGATGGGGTAATCCGAGAAAAGTAACATGAGCGATAGTAAAAATAAAAAAACAGCATCAAACGACTGAATGCTGCGAAAGTCACTGCAGGTACTACGAATAGATAAATATATTTAATTCAAGAATAATTTGTTATTGGCGAAGAGAAAATCTATAACAAGTATAATAATATCTACAACTTCTTTCATGATTATTTACAATACATAAAGTAAAAATGTGACATAAACTAACGAATTCTCTAATGAACGCTTTTATAATTAACAATAGAATGGCGTGGCGTGGCACGACACAGCACGATTTTATCGTCTCGATATAATCATCATATCAGCCGTTAACTATTCACTACTAACCATAGGCTTACTCCATAAGGGGAGGTTTGCCATTAGTTGCCACGCTTGACAAGCGGATTGGCAACCGCAATTGGGTTTTGATGATGTTATCCCGATGTAATTGGTGATAAGTTATAATTATTATTAAAACAACACAACTGACGAGGCTGACGTTCTTTTAACTTATTATAGCATGATAATATCGTACGATTTTATGCTACATCTATTATACCGTAACGATAAAATCGTGCTGTATCAAGCTGTAGCAAGCCGCGCTACGATAAATTTTATATTTATAAAAGTACCATTAAATAGTACCTACTAGTTGATGTTAATAATTTAAATATCTGTATCTCAGTATTGAGATATTAATGTTGGTGTTAATATTAATATTTAATTTTAGGTTAATTTTAAATGTTTTTAGATTATTTTGCAATTTATGTTATAGCTGTTTAATATTGTATTATGTATGTTTTATAAATACTTGATGTTGACTATTTAATAAATGTATATCTATATGATGTCTGTAATACTTTAGAAGTCAAAGGCCCGGTTTACATTACTTAAATGCACGCTTCAGGTGTTAAGGAGGAAGATTTCTACTTACCTAGTAGTTAAAAGCAGAGGTTTTACAACTAGAATCCAACTAAGGTAGTAATCACTTGAAAACTACCACTTACACGTTTCTATTACAGTACCTGTATGCAAGTGTTTTGTTTTTCGAATAACAATACCAACTAGATGTATATTATACATCAAAATCATTAAACTTTCAAACACTTTCTTTAAATATTCAATAAGACAATACCATATAAAATATTATATTCGTATAGTTCGTGATATATTTTAGTTCACGAGGTCTTATCTAGTGGGTATTTTTTTATCGGTGGTTTTGGTAATGTAAACTGAGATAAAAAAAATTGTAAAAAGGGCACACCCCAGAAGGCCACAGAAGATCTGTGTTACGTGGATCCTGTAGTAAGGATGACGATAGTGGTAATGATGGTCTAATGCAGCTATATTAGATGCATGTAAAATATCCTAATAAAATTAAACAATTCTCAATAATATCACCTATAAAAAAACAGTTTTGCTGTAAACCAAAACTTTTTTTAATCTTGCTGTCCCGTTTAACAAGCAGTTTCAACTGCGAACTAGCTTGAAACTTAACGGTTGATCTTTTATTATATATATATATATATATATATATATATATATATATATATATATATATATATATATATATATATATATATATATGTGTATGTGTTAAGAAAATATTTGTTTACATATTCACGAGTATATACTCCATGAATATAACACATTAAAAATATTAATTTATTTTTATTTTTAACATTTAATACTCACGACGCTAATTATACGGTATGTGCCCTTTTTACAGTAATTTATACTACCTACCTTTCTAATTGTCTATTAAAAATTAGCTCCTCAATGTTCTAAAATTCTAAATACGCAATTATAATAATATAATAAGAATACACGAACATATAAACTGAAATTTAAAATGCAAGAGTTTCTTCTGTACCCAATAACTAAACTATACAGGATTAGTCGTAAAGTATGTACCAAGCCGAAAATCAGTAAGTAATACTATTCATGATACTAAATAACTTTCCCCAACATTCAAAATTTCAAAATCATTTTTTAACTTTTCATAGAAGCCATGTAGTCGTTTTAATGAGAAAGTTTAAAAAAATATATTCAGTCTCTGGTCAATCAGGGAAAATTGTTTTATTTAATTTAATTATAAAAATTACTGGGTTTCAGCTCAGTAAATCCATTACGACGATTCCTATATATCTAATGCATAACGAATTATATTGTATTTGTCGAAGTAATACCTTGTCTACGAATTTATGTTGGTATAAATTCATTTTAGATAAGTTTGTATATTACATCAAAAAAGATCAATGAATTACGTTTATAAGTACATTTAATTATAATGTACCTAAACTATAAAGGTAAAGTTGACATGACATTTTTTTAATGATAATTACGTTCCATTGAACGTTTATATTATTTACCGTAGTTCGGTACAATATACTACGATTTTACCGTCACGATAAAATAGGCCAGTAAAATATTTGTAATTATATGGAAATGCTTTAAATTTATCGCGATAAAATCAGAGTGCAGAGAAATAATACGAGTAATAAGCGTTATACAATCAAACCAATTGTTTGGTCCTTAAGTTAGAATACCCTATTATAATAAATTTAAAAAAATTTCCGTATAACCGCACACATTTTTTATCGTATTCATTATCGTAACGGTAAAATCGTAAAATATCGTGACATGCTACGGTAAATTATAAAAGTATCCATTACATAACTATTCTTGAAATTATGTTATTTTCTATAAAAAAAAATCGTAAATTATAATTTAAACAACTATTTATACGAAACTAAAACAGCTTTAAAAATACACCTAAGTACAGACAAAATGATAAAGAAATATAATAATATGCACAAAATAACAAAACTGATGTACTTATACATATTTAGGATATAATTATGTTAAATTTGAATAGAATATTTAAAATTGCTTGTTCTGTGTATAACGAAACGCACAATCCTATAATAATATCCAAGAAATTATTTACCCAAAATATAAGCACTTTAATTTAACCAACTGTCTATTGAAATAGCATAAATTAGCACTATAATTGCCTGAGCAAACAAACTTTCTCAGGTAGCACGGTTACGTTTGTGACCTTAAACAGACATAATTTTTAAGTCATTTTAACATGACCCAAAAACGATTAAAAAATTGTGTCATGTTAGAAACGCACACATCACCGTTATAGTCTCAAGAACTCTTGTTTTACCAGTCATCTGAAGAATACTTCTAAATAGGGTACCTTATGCGTTCCAAATTGTCATATAAGCATAATGGATACATAACAGACGTTTTAACACTAATTTCCTGCACAGCGTCAGCATACTATCTGGGTTTGTCCACTAACAAAATTTTCCATTACGTTTAGCTCGTCTTTCCAAGATTAACGGCAGATAATCCTTGGCTGACATTTTAGTCCAATCATAATAAAACCTTTACCATGCATGCATAATAAAACGTAACATGCATGCTTAGACAAAGAGAAATTTTGCTCGCGGGACATCGTATGCTCAGGCATGGACAAATTAAAATTTGGGAAATTAAATTCTTTATGTAGATACATAATTAGTTCGTTCATCGATTTTGAACTATCGATTAATAATCGAGGCCCGGATATCAAATTAATCTAATATGCTCGTTCACTGTTTTATATTACGAACTGTCAAAAATATAGGCATATTTAAGAAAGAGGCCGGGAGGGCTGTGCCCAGTTCGGAATTATTTAGTTCCGCAGGATATAAGCAAAGCATTAAACTATGCACAAAGACACGTTTAAAAATGCATAATATATCCTTTTTAAGAGCAAGACGCCCCTGGATAATAATCTTAAATATGACAATATCAATAAAATTAAATGTTTTCACCTATACGACACAAATACAATTATTAGTTTTTGAATCATCTACTTTCGATCATTTAATTAAAATATCCACTTATGTTTCCATTCAATTTTCACAAATAATATAAAACTGTAGATAATCATGATGAATCTCCAAAAAGTCTTTGATGTGGGATATTTAGATATACACCTAATTAAAAAATATCGAAATATCAAGTTAATAAATGACATTAAAAGAGATATAGAGCGCCATCCCCTTAAAAACGCAAAATAAATGTATTCTGTCACTAATCTGAAATAAAAACTTAGATTATTAAAAAGGATGATATAAAATATTTTTTTTGTATGAAAACCAAATACATATATACAGTGGAGTCTCGATTAACCGGACTAATCATTATCGTAAATCATTCGAAAATCGGAAATCCGGATAATTGAATATATAAAGAAATGTTATTGTTTTATATTGTTTATTTTGGTTATTTTCTAGGATCTACCTATCTATCTCTATTATTACACGTATAATAAATCTATCAGTCGGTGTTACCGCCGGTATCTGCTGATAGACATTAGCAATGCACTAATAAGACATTAAGGTGAGAATGAAGTCAAATTTGTTAGCTTATTGTTACGAATTTTACAAGAATTAACTACAACGATTTCCTGGGAGAACCACGTGAAGATCAAGTTAACATATTGCCATTAATGGGACAGTTAAACCCTGTTACTAGCAATCCCTTTTCCCCTTTTACATAAATAATGCTAAGTATTTAAACCAATAAAATCAAATACAATTTATTAACTTAAAACTTAAACATTACTCATTGTTGACTACCCAAATAAATACAATTTAATCGAAATCCGGATAATCGAGACACTACTGCAAATTAGTTAATAATTGCAAGCTGATTTCAGTTTAAAATCATCTTTATGAGAACTTGTCTATATTAAATTATCATAAATCCATCATGTATATAGGTACGGTAATAAAATATATGTCATAATCTATATAATCTATCACTATACAAGTGGCAAACGAATCTATCTACAAAATCGGTTTGTTTAGCAAAAAAAGACACCAGATGTTGCCATCTCATTCTATCTCATAGACTCACTAGCGATAGCGATTCTACTAATAGATTCGTTTGTCACTTGCCTGTCATTATAGATACTTTGTGTTATGGTTATGGTTACTATTGTGTGATTTAGTACATACCTACCATTAAATGTTTATTTCCCATCGCCTGGCACTAAATATTGATGATAAGGTTGAATACAAAATATTTGTTATAAAATGTTTATATTTGTATAATGTTTTTCATTTTACCCCATCGTATTGTATTTTTTTATTTACTTTGAAAATAGTAAACAAGCTATCGACCCACCTAATATAATCTAGTAACTATCGCACATAGAACAGCACCATAAACATTACAAAATATACTGTAACACCCATTATACCAATCATATGTTGCTACTAAAAAATATGGTGTTGCACTTTCTTAGTATTTATGGTATTTTACATGATTTTTTAAATTTAAAATCACTATTTATTTACCTCTAAATTTAATAACAACAAGTTGAGAAAAGAAGGTCCTTAAACTCCCACCTGGAAATTAATACACACAGAAATGTAATTATTTTTAATCAAATTAGTCGAAATCGAAAATAACGTATGTATATAAGAAATCTGTGATAAAGAAACTCAATAATAATTTATCCAGACAGAAAGCGTTTTATATTATTACCTACATAAATATATTACTTTTCTACTAAGCGATTTAATGCTCATAATAATTAGACGCTTCGTTTTATTAATAGATATTTTATCTTCAAATATATTATTATTTTATACTCTTTCTGTAGTTTTATTTTATTTTTAAGAGAACATAATGGTTTTAAATGGTTATTATCATGTCAAGATATATAGAAAGATGGATATCGGTTTCTCGATTTATATAGACAGAAAATAGTTAGTATCCAGAGCCATAATAATAAAAAAAATAGCAAATGTTGCCTTGTTAAATCAATCTCTTTCTAACTAATTAGCTAAAAATAGCTAAACTGAGCCATCTTTCTAATCATCCAGCTTGTTTCTTAACTGAATGCCTAATTCAAAATTGAGGTCCGTCAAAATAAAAAGGTTATGGATTTTATTTATAAATAAATGGCATCTAAAATATCTTTAACCTTGATAGATTAGTCTTATAGTTTTTTTAAGTGTTTAAATGTCTGTGATATTTTAATAACTTTTAAAGAAAACTGCCATTATAACTTTCTTAATTTTTTTTTTACAATCAGAAGAAAAAACATACATACATACTGAATACGTTGATGAATTCATAAAATACGTTTCAATATTTTACTATGATACCTATAGATCGCACTGAGATTAATTCTGCGGTGCCACTTCTTTAAACTTATCTCTTAATCTGATTTTTAATTTCATAATTCCGTGAAATTACTGTTTTATAGACAATCATTTAGTAAATTTATAATTTTGACTTAGATATTAAATTAAAATTTTGATTTTAAAGATAGATTGTACTACAGAATCGATTCCATTGTATCCGAATTAGCAGATTGTGCTTCAGAATCGACCACACTGTATCTAAATTAACCTGGCAACATATTTTTTTTTTTATTCGATTTCCGCTTTCCGAAAATTTATTGCTTTTGGTCGCGTGCGTTCGGTTTATTTCTGTGGAATTCTTTTTGTAAATAAATTTATATTTAAATCATGGGAGTCAATGTCGAGACAATTTCCCCTGGTGATGGTGAGTTACAGTTTTATATTTAATTATTTTTTTACCTTTATATCACTATTTGCACAATTACTATAACCGATACTGCCTTGCTTACTGCATTTTTCATTTAAATTCTCCACCTTTTTATTGACTTCTCTAGATAACGTCAAATTACAAAATAAATAATAGAAATATTGGTAATTCTATAATAACCTACTCACATTACTATGCCTAATATGCATACGACGCATTGCGAATTACAAGACGCCATCCGGTTAATTCAAGCACAAATTAATTTCAGTGACTTGTCATTTTTAACTTTTACATATATTTTGAAAACATTTACACATTTCACTTATATTTTTTTCACGTAATTATGATATCAAAAGATATTTATTCCGCTCAAATATTTATAACCCTGTATTAAATTTGTCTTATACAGTTATCGTCCATACTTAAACAAACAAAAAGAACAATCTTTCTTAACACGAATGCGATAAAAATTGTAAGTAACAAGCAACAAATTTTACTTGTAACATTTTCTTCAATACACCACACCCAATACTTCATTTAAAAAATAATACCTGCTCTTTTAATACTATAATATTAACTTTATTTATGATTTATATATTGATATATTAATTAATAGTGTCTTAGAGAGCTATTTATGTATGAATTATTTTTCGGTGGTGTATATCTGTTTTTGTCTAGCTACCTTTTATTCTATATAATTACTGCTGAAGGCAGTCTTTTTGATGTTTCCAGTTATATTTTTTTTTATTTGATTTCTTTTTATTAATAACTATCAACCCACCCTGACTTCACACTTATTTTATTTTTTTAATAAAATACAGTTCATGTTGCTCATTGATCAAAAGCTACATCTATAGGTGAATTTTTTTAAGTATATTTGAGTTTACCTGTTACAAAAAAAAAAATCTGAACTTACTACTTTATAAGTTTAGATTCAAATCATCGAAGTATTCAATAAATATCAATAATCATAACCCATATTTTCTGTACTCCTTATTTGATAAGTATGTAATATATTAACTCACTGTTATTGTATTTATTTAACATGTTATTATTTTGTTTATCAATTGTTAATTGTCCCACTGTAACATAGGTCTCCCACTATTGGGAATTTTTGCCAATAGTTGCTACACTAGGCAGGCAGGTTGGTAACCACAGTTAGTTGTTGAAGATGATTTAAGAGGGATGCTACTGCCCATCCTTCGGTCATTAAGTTATTCTATTCATACATATTTGTAAATTGACATTTTCAACCAACTTCCAAAAGAAGGTTTTATTGTCAATCTAATTAGTTTTTTTTAATGTTTGTTACCTCATATCTATCAGTTCTAAACCAATTTTGGAAAATTAGTTTTTCATTTGAAATTTGTATTTCAGATAAAAAACTTATTTTTGGATTGGTCCTATACAAATTTTATAAAAATTGGTTCAGTAGTCTTGTTTTAAGATCATAATAACTGTTTTTGTTACAATTGAAATTGTTTTTTTTTATTACTTACTATTAGGCTACGGTAACCGCTTACCATCAGGTGGGCCATATGCTTGTTTGCCACCTCAGTGGTATAAAAAAAAACTACTTTTTTTTATTATTTATTATTACATTTAGTAAATAAACATAACATACATTAGTCATTTAGAAAAACAAAAATTATCTACAATATTCCATACAAATTGTATAATATTAAACTAATTTTATTTTACATTTTTTTTTATACCATGAAGGTATTAGTCAGGCACACTGCCAGTCTGATGGTAAACAGGCACTGTAGCATATGAACGCCTGTAACACCATGAGTGTCACATGCATGTTACTTACCCCGAAGAAATCTTTGTATACTGATTTTGATGCTGTAATCACTAGGGAAGAACTCTCTAGGAAAATTTATTATTTTAAGCATTATTGATATGCCTACATTAAGCCATGTAGCTACTCATGCCATGTAAGAAAATAAGATTGTATTCTTGTACTATACCTACTCCATGTGAGGCAAAATATATTATCACATCTACATGACACACCTTATCAAAACAAATATGAGAATCTTATCATTATTTGGTAGAGACTTAGTAAACAATTTGAATTGCTTGTACCTACCAAGTTTCTTGTTAATACTGCACTTTACAACTTAGTTATGTATCTAACCTTTTGCATAATGTAGGTTAAACTCTATAAGTTTTCTGTGATAATCCAAGATATTTCCCTGAATTATGTTATGGATTATTCTATCTGTAACAAATTTTATATCCTTCTTTACTAACAGATGTGAAAGTGAGTTTGGTAGATCAGATATTATAAAATTTGGCATATACTATTTAGTATAGAGTGAGACAAGCTAGCTGTAGTTCTAGCATAGAATAGGCAACCCTTTGCTTTCCCGTAGGTGTTGTAAGAGGCGACTAAGCAAGGGCGAGGGCTAGGCAGCAGTGTCCCTCTTAAAACATCTTCAAAGCCTGTGATTGCCTGTCGGTGTGGCAACTACTGGAAAATACCCCAAATGGAGACTTATGTTCAGCAGTACACAATTAAAGGCTGATATAATGATGATGAAGACAAGCTACTTTTTATTATCCTGGTCACACTAAGTTAGATAATATACCAAAAATCATAAAAAGTAAAATTGTAAAAAAAAGCTTTTAAATGCATCTTTTTTTTTATTTTTAAGATATGAAATGGTGAGGTGACCATCTTCACTGCTGGTATAAACTGTTAAAATACCAATGAATGACGATATTACTTATCTAAATGAAGTCAATTGGCCCATCATAGTGATTCAATGATTAATAATTTTGGTTTCCAAAGATTACATTTTAATTTTTTTGAAATATTAACTTATTAGAGATTAACTTTTTAGAAATATTACTAGCAATGAGGGCACTAGTCCCCATTATTAACAATCCCCATTCCCTTAAATATGTCTATTATAATATTTACATATACAAATTACAGAGTCAACTTACCCAAAGACCGGGCAGACAGTGGTGGTCCACTATACAGGCACACTGACAAATGGGCAGAAATTCGACTCTTCGCGCGACCGTGGCAAGCCCTTCAAATTCAAGATCGGCAAGGGAGAAGTCATCAGAGGATGGGACGAGGGTGTTGCTAAGGTATATTATCCCTTTAAATTCGTAATCTAAATACCTTGTAGATAAGAACACTGCTATATCGTCATAGTCGTAGAATACTGACGGATCTGACAAAGATTACATATAAAGATCCATCAGTATTCTACGACTATGAAGATATGTAATACATAACGCTACCTACTCCATATCTTGCTATATAGACAACCAAACTAAAAACAAACTAGACAAATGCATAATAAATGGCCAAGACAACAGACCTAATCATATATTACTAATATTTGTATTCTATGGGGATTAAACCCACAATAGTTTGTTATGAAAGACTATAGTTGTTACCTCCCAGTGATTTATTTATTTTCTTACAGATGTCGGTAGGCGAGCGCGCCAAACTGACCTGCTCCCCGGACTACGCTTACGGCCAACAGGGCCACCCTGGAGTAATCCCACCAAACTCCACTCTCATCTTCGATGTGGAACTCATCCGCCTCGAATAGACAATCACAACACGTACCTCTCATCTCATTAACGTTTTACCTAAGCCTTAATTAGTGAATGCAAAATAAGAAATGTACAAAAATAACAGACAAACACTAGCGTGGCCGCATTGAGAACTTCAGCTCTCTATGTACAAGTCTCTGGCTATGACGGACTTAATTGTATGTTCAGGTCAATTAAGATATTTTAATATTTCTTATTTTATTAATTCACGTTAACTAGTGGTAAAGGATTTTTATTACCACAACTATTTTTGCCCCAAGATTATATATGCTCAAATTCACAAATACTAAAAAGGTTTAGAGGAAAGTAGTTCTCCTTGTTCAATGGGTTCACCATAGTGTATTTACATATGTAACTCTTCATAGTCACACAATTTCGTACCTTTTTATGTTAAGATTGTTGCCAGTAAATGTGGGCTTTTATGAAGGACATGGCAACACCGTTTAACTTTAGATATTGAAACGCCATGTTTGTGTACCATCTTTTACTACTACGAACATACAGTAGTAGAAAAATCAATGGATAAGTCCATAAGAGACAAATTTGATAATAAAATAACCATTTATCATCGATCATACAAACTGGCAACTACCTACTTTAGGTTACATTCCAGATGCATTTATAAATTTGATTTCTTTATTAAGATGTGCTCTATTTAGTAAAATTGAGTTATATAAACAACAATTTACTAGATAACACAACTTATAATAAATGTTTTAAAAATAATTAGTTCTGCATTCTAATAGGGTTGATTTTCACTTGTGTTTATAAGTATGTAATTTGCACAAATAAATAAATACATCTATATGGGTCTTTAGTGATAAACTATAGTGTCTTCTATAACTTCAATTGAACTATAAATGCACTTTGGGTATTGTGTGCTTGATAATTTCATGGGAGTGTTAGATGTATAGCTAGGCCATAGTATTTGTGGATGATTGATTAGTCATTTGATTCATGACGAAGGATACAAAGGTACAGAGTTCGCTTCTTTATAGCAATAAGAGTATTCGTGTCATATGTAACACATAAGGTTATTGTGAAGGAAATATGCTTAAAATCTTTAGCTGTTATCATAATACAAGTATACTACGTAGGTAGATTTACCTATTAGTTATTTTAATTATGTAAATAATCAGCACAAATGTATGGACTCGTCTGAATCAATTATGAAGCATTCATTTAATTTCTTACAACCGATAAACTTGTCATAGATACATTAAACTTCAGAAATAAACTTTATGTGAGATAAAAATGTTTTATTTGCTCTTTCCTTACAATTGTATTTTTAATCTATTAAAAATATTTTAATTCTTATAATTTCCATCAGGCGAAATTGCATTAAAACTATAAGATTCCATATAGATATGCTATAAGCAATTAGTGTTAATTAACTACACTATGTAACATTTTTATTTATACAACTTAGAATGGCAAACTAGCGGACGGCCTATCTGATGGAAAGTGGTTACCATCGCCTATAGACATGAGCAGTACTATGGACGTAACAGAGTATACTGTTTCGCCCATCATACCTTCCATGCGTTGCCATTCCTGAGGACTCGGGTGTTATTCCTCTGTACCCAGTAAATTCACGCCATATCCCACCCTTCAAACCGAAACAACTGCTTAACGGTTGAAACACGAATAGGACAGAGCTACCCAAGCAATTGACTTTTGTACAAAAATCGCAATAAAAGGATATCGGGTGTTCAAAAATCGAACCCGCAAGCAGTTAGCAGCAGCCAGTTGCAATAAAAATAATTACGCATATTATTTTTAATAAAGTATTTATTCATCATTATTCAATCACATTCTCTCGTATCTAAATGTTAAAGATTCACTTTCTTTTTAAATAATAAACTAAAATACAAAAGTCTTTTATTATTAACTTAAAAATATCTTTTCTTATTCTACAAGTGTTTTTGCACCAAATATGCGTTTTTACAAAGCAGTAAAGAAAATACTTTCTTATATTTGACTCCTGATCATTAATCTCAAAATACTACATAGGTTTTAGAGAACATCATCTAAGCTTAAGTATATTTATAAAATGTAATAACTTCAGAAAATAATATTCGTCCTTGCTATAAACTCTGAATACATGCATAATAAATAAACTTTTATAAATCATTCTCGCTATAATATTTGAGAGTAGGCAGTTTATACCTATTCGTAACAGAAAAATTTGGTTCAAGTCTATATCTAATGCAAATATAATAATAGTTGCATTATTGTTCTTTTATACAAGTAAGGAGAACATAAAAATGTTGACAACATAAAATCGATTTTTATTAGATACTGAAATACAAATGTCATTTCATCAAATCTAAACATTTCGATAAATACAACACCATACATATAAATGTTATAGTATGGTATATAGTATATATAACAGGCCACCAAACGCAATTTATAGATACAATTGATAAAACAATTTTGAGAAAATATCGGTCATATTTAAATGTATTAACCGATTTAAAAATCTCAATACGATTAAGCTTCTGGGACAAGGCATCTTTTTGATTCCCCCAACAATAAAAAAATAAGTCGTCAATACAACGCACAGAGAGTGCTCGGCGGCAAAATTCTAAGATGCAATCATATCCTTGACCTCGGCGTCCCCAAGCGCCACCCCTTAAAACTGGTTTACAGTAATATCTGTCAATAAGTTAAATCACCCACACAATGCTACATTTCAAGGATTATACCTACTCTAACATTAAAAAGGGCACCATACATAAGGCCCTGCGCAAATGAAGGCCTTTTGAAAATACAGTGTTTATTTACCATAGACACGTGTGCTATGCCAAGTACACTACGTCAGAAAATACGGTATGAAAGGCAAAAACTGGTGAGATGAGTGTCGAAAACGTCATATTCTAACTCCTTCACCATAAATTTAATCGTAATGGGTTTAAATAAGTAACTATATTTGTTACAAGAATTATAAACCACCAAAATGTCTACAAGCAATTCTATGTTCTCCATTTTAATAGAAAAAAAGTACGTCGAGCATCTACTAAACTAAACCGATTTTGATGAAATTCTACAAGTATGATAATATCTTAAGGAAGAATATGAATAATTCCATAATTAAAATATTTAGGATATGTTGTTTTAAATTATTCTAAAGTACTAATATTAAGTACAAAATTATACGTAAAAAATATGCTATTTTTTTCGTATATAATTTTGCACTACCAAACAAACAGTAAGTAAGTAAATTTAAAATATTTTAATATAGAAATTGTTATCATCTCGGTAGTGTTCTACAGGTCAAACTGAACATATTTTCTAGAAAAAATATAGTCCAAAAACGACAAAAAATTTCCATCCTTCCTTAGATATGATTCTCGTCTCATTACCATCAACTCTCATGGAAGACTTTCGCGTTCCAATATCAACAAATGTTTAAAACAAATTCAGCATAAATTTTAAACAAATTTAGATTTTTCTGAACAATAAAAGCAGGTAATGTTACTAATTTCTGTAATATATTTCAATACCATTTTCAAATATCTGATGGTATCCATTTTAATTTAGCTACCAAAATAAAATTGCTTACGTATCAATGTATCAAAACTACAATATTTCTTCCATAAATAAATAAAATAGCAGCTCGACGCCGAGTGGTACCATAAATTTATATGTAAATTGAACAACATTTTCATATTCATACATCCAAAGACAACTGATACTGTAGAAAACATGAATATTTAACCTACCTACTCATAAAAGTATAGATTCAATTCTCAAGATATTCATAACTATTGCACTCATAATTAGCAATACATTGATTTATGGTGATCGTCCGTACTGCAAATACGAAAATATTTCTAGACAATGATATTATAACAAAAACAAAGTATAGTGCAATCTGTTTCAAAAGACTTGTATAAAAATATAAACAAACTAATAAACTGGCCAGACAATATGCTCCCAATAGTAGAACAAATAAAAAATCCTTTAATCAATTAAATGTTTCCGTGATAATTTCAACAAAACTTGATTAGCTTTTCATTAGTTCGAGGGTAAAAGAGATTTTTAGTATTGGAGATTAGCAACCCCATTGCTAGCTATAAACCCTATCAGGTACACCTTCCCGATTCCCCCTGGAAATTATCGTGATTGATTTATTGTTGAATTCGTCACGATGTGCTAACTGACCCGCTTCATACTAACCTATTATCCCTCACTGGTACCCCGCCAGAGTATTCCGATAGCACAGATGTGGTTACCAATTCATTATCATCCATTAAGAAACGGGTACTTAAATTCTATTATAATTGACTATAGATAATACGTTACAAGCGCCCAGAAAATATGACCTGGACGAGACTTAATTAACGCAAGTGGTACACATTTGTACATAAATAACAAACACTAGCCAAATAAGAATAAATAATAATATTATTGTTTTAAACGCTTCATTCTATTTATTTCAAAATTAGGAACAAGTAAATGTCGATGTGCATGGTCGCTGTGTTTAGAACATTTCATTTATATTTTTTTTTAAATTATAGTTATCTACTTTTTGTAAAATTTAATAATAAATGTTTCCTATTCTATTCTATTATTTTCTGAATTCATGATTGTTCAATTATACCGAAGTGTAACGTCTGAATTAGGCATCTGTCGTTATTCAATAACAATTGTCAATATTTTGAATTTTATTCGTAATTAAACTGCTGAAATTTTGGATTTTGATAGATTTTTTTGCATGACAACCAAGTTGACGGTCCACCCGATGGAAAACGGTAACACACAAGACACAAGAACAGTGTCATAGGCATAACAATAAAATTATTTGAAAATTTCAAAATAGAACGCTGTAATACATTTTGGTGGTTTCCAAATGTTCCATATTGAAAATTGACAGGTAATACAGAGCTTGCCATTCCATCTCAACTCCAAGCCTCAAAGAAATCATTGAAATCAAAATCCAAAATTACTATGCATTAAATAAAGGAAAAATTTTAAAAATTTTACCAGATGACAAAACTTTTAATATTGCACATAAATCGTTTAAATCATATCTAATACTCGGTAAGTATCTAATTCATACATATTTAATTATAATATAAATATTTGGTGAACACAATTTTTCTCATAATGGAATCGTTATATAAAACTCTTACATATTATCAACTTTGATGATGGAGAGATTTAACACACCGCCTCACTTTTCTATTGTCGTAGATTCGATCCACGCACAATACAAACATTTGTATTCGTGAGTATGGCTGTTTCTATTGGTTGGGTGTTATTTATGTATGTGTATTTAAAAAAAAAAAAGCAAGCATTCTATCTATTGTCTCGTATCCCTAGTACAAGATCAACTGAGCTTGGGACTAGACGGCGCTGTGATATTTATTATCGTATACTTTGCAGTGCGGGCGTAAACTTATCATATATGGGCATCATATACTTGAACAAAAGAAAATCGATTTTATATATTCTTACAACCTAAGTACTCTAAAGTACTGAATAGCATAATGTTTAACAGTCACACTGGAAACATCAAGGAACTTAATGCAATAGTTCTTTACAATATTCTATTTTTAAAAAAGTAACAGTCATTTTTATGTAATTATAAGATATCTTGTTGTAGGATCTATTCTCTCTACATTTAAAAAATTACAATGAAAAAGTTATTGTTAATCTAAGAGTTAATAAAAAAATTCGGTCGCTCCGTATCGTCATAGTTGTGACCGTATAAAAATACGTACAAATACAAAATTATACGAGTTGTGAATCTCGCATACTTACTGCAATTTTGTGCCCTTTGTTCTTGTAAAAAAATAAAAACTCAATTTGTCAAAAAAAAGTCACTTTGTCCACATTTTTCTATATCACACAAGTCCTAATTTAAGAATTTGGTAACGGTTTCAAAGGGCCTAGACTTAATAAACCATCAGCGCCGAGCGCTTGCAAATTATTGCTGATTCCATTGTGAACGGACACAACCGGAATACCGAAGCATCCACTCGCTTGCTCTCTATTCGCTAACGGAATAAAACTATAGATACCTAAACTACTTAGTCGTTTTAAATTCTCCTCTTGCGAAAGATCCACGACCGGCAATCCTAATTCTCTATTAGGACCAGATACATTGTGGAACACCCTCTTATGGTGCTGCAATTGTAAGGATTTTGGATAAGACGCTGGGCACTCGTCACATTTAAACATAGGTATTTTACTCTGTGGATGTGCATTTGACATATGAACCTGTAAGGAGTTCTGATTCATGAACATTTTCTTGCAAATCCTACACGATAACATACCCCCACCAACCTTTGCTTCGGGTATTGAGAAACTACTGGATTTTGATGTATGCTTAATACTAACTCCTGCTCCAAGATTCGGTATATGCGGTAAAGGTCTCTCTGGAGTTGGGGAGCGGCTTTTCTGTTTCGCCTTGACACTTATACCTCGGGATGCTAACACATTCGCCATAGCGCTCGCTTCTTTATTCACAGTTTTCTTCGTTATTGATATTTGGCTGCCTAGGTTTAATTTGTCTTTAGCGCCCTGCACACTCTGGATCATGGGAAGACCGTCGCGTTGTTTCTGCATTGCCATTACTTGGCAATCTTCGTTATCATGTTTGCCAGGCAACAACATATCGGGTCTTCGCTTCTGATTGGGCCCTGCCATCATTCCTCCAGGTCGTTTTATTGGCATACGAGGACCGCCAGGTTTCCCACCACGCACCTGCCCATGAACCTGTATTCCAGGTCTTATTGATGGTCTCGCGTTTCTTACGTTTGCCATTCTAGGTCTAGCTCCTGCCACCGTAGCTCCAGCTGCCATTCTAATTTGACTAGGTGATGGCATCTGCCCTCCAACCACTTGACCAGGCGCATTCGCTTGTGGTCCTAATTCTTGCCCTGGGCCACCAGGCATCCCTACCAATTGACCTGGAGCAAATGTTTGCACATTTTGTATTCTAACGCCACTACTGGGTGGTTTCATGGTACCACCAGGACTTGACGAAGGAACATATTGATTAGGCGTAGCTCCAAGTGGTGGTCCCATTTGACCCATAGCTTGCTGCGTATTCATCATTCCAGATGAGTTTGGACCATATGCCTGTTGCATACTTTGAAGGGGAGAAGTGTTTGGATATGGCGATGATCCTGGTGAAAAAGTATTTTGCGCGCCAGGATAACCACCGGGCTTTGACATCGGTTGTTGTTGAAATTGGTTATAGTTTTGCTGGCCCATATAGTGCTGACCAGGATACTGCCCTGACATTGTTTGTCCTGGAGCACCATACATATTGTTAGATGTAGGTGGAAAACCAGAATGCATATTTTGTCCAGATTGAGGATAAGCATTATAAGGCTGAGGCACCATTCCTCCAGCACCTGGATATGCCTGAATATTGATCATTACATTTTGTTGATGTGTGAAGCCTGGACCACCACCTCCCATCCCAGATAGTTTTCCAACTTGTTCTGCTAACTGCTTGACCGGCAGTAAATTTTGAAGTATGTTTGAACTAGGATTATATGGCATAAGTGACGATGATGTTGGTGCCATAAGACTCTTGGAGTGTCCTGTCACCCTTTTATGCTCTTCTAATAAAGATATATCAGTAAATCTAGTATTACAAATTTCACATGTGTGTTGTGGACCTAATGTATCTATAGATATGTATTCACTAGCGTCTGATAAGGAGAGGTTTTCTTTTTTTGTCGCAGTTGAGAGCAAGCTTTCAAAGATATCATCGGTACTTTTTTCAAGCATGTCAAGAGGTGGTTTTGAATCTGGTGCATTCCAATTGAAATTATGTTGTTTCTCAGTTGAGGGAGTAGTGGAGGATAATCGCGCTGATAGAACAGGAGTGTAGCTCGATTGTGAAGAACTAGGATAAGCGGGTGGTGGATAAGATGGTGCAGAATTTTCAGATTTGGGAACAACTGGCTTAATGTCAGGTGCTGGAGTCGCTGAAACCACACAACAGTCATCATCTTCATCATTAGAATCTCCATTAATTTCTATAATAGTCATATCGCTATCATTTTCTTTCTTTGTGACTGGTAAGAGATTAGTAGTTGTTGACGCAGCAACAGGTGCAGAAAGAGTAGAATTATGATTGTTGAAAAGTGGTTGACTACTTGAGACAACAGCAGAGCCTGGTTCACTTTTAATTTTAGCTATTATTGGTGATGATGTATTATCGCTTGGTGTTGGTGAAGTCCTTTCAGATTTTATTTGACTGGAAAATAATGGAATATTGGAATTTTGCGTCTCCACACTACCTACCTCCTGTTTAACAACAACATTATCCATATTTACCTCATGAGATTGACGTCGCTCTGGTGTAGACACAACTGATGTTGACTCTTTCTGAGTTTGAGGTATCTCTTTAGATGCAATTGGAAAATTTGCACCTCTTTTAGGTGTTTGTTTTATTGCAGGTCTTCCCGGTTGTTTTACTTGTGGTATTTCTTTAACAATTGCAGATGTATTTGAAACTGAAGTCTTTACAGGAGTTCTAACAGGTTCTACTTTTTGTACTATTGATTTACCTTGAAGGTTTTTAAGAGTTGTGGCAATTTTATCTTTCAGTGTCGTTTTATCCAACCCATCATTGTCTTCATCAGCAGAGTCTTGTTCTGGACCAGACGCATCCTGATCTCCTGACTTGTCTTGGTCGTCGTCACCTTCTTGATCTTCTTGACTAGCCTCATCACCACTACCTCCGTCTTCTTCATCAGATGCTTTGAAATCTTTTAAGCCATTGACTACTTTAAAAGAGTTAGTATTACCTCCATCAGACTTAAGTTTAAGTTTAATACCACCAAGTTTACCTAACTTTTGCATAACATCATTCGTATCCTGTTCTTCTGGTTCTTTCTTTATTGATGTTGTATTTTTCTTAATTGTGAAACCTAATCCACTTAATTTATTTAATGCAGAATCCGAACTTTTAAGTTCTGTTTCAGTCGGTTTTTTGAGTGAAATCCCTTTGTTTTTGAGTATTTGTGATATATCTATTTTTTGTGGCGCCGTTTTCGGGCCAATCTTTGGCGGTGGCGAAGGTTCTTCTTCATCAGACCAATTTTCATCTCCAGAAGGAGAACTATCTTCGTCGTCGGACGGCAGCTTGTCAAGCACCACGGAGGGCAGGGACACGTGTTGAATCAGATGAGTTTCTAATTCTTCCCAATTAGGGAAATCTTCCTCGCAGGTGTGACACCTATACTCTTGTTTAGGTTTCTTAATAAGAGCTCCTGAAGATTGAAGCCTTTTCAATATACTCGCGACATTGTTATTTGGAGGTTTTATGTCTTCTTTCTCTTGCTCGTCCTCTACTGAATCATCTTGTGCTTCGTCATCTCCATCTGAAACACAAACAATGTACGTTTCAAACATAATTCTTAACAATACACACAATATAAGAACTTTCATATTACAAAATTAAATTTTATAAAAAAACAATACAACATCAGGAAATCGTGATGTTTGTTACAAGCACTGAAAAGATGATGTATTTATTAATAAGAGTAGCTCTTAAAATTATAATTACATCCTTCAATAGTCCTTGAATATAGGAAATAAAAATAATGATCCGACATACAGTGTATGTATTATATACCATCATAGGGTTCATACTTGTTATTCTATTCCCTATATGTTTCATATTTTCGGCTGTCATCAAGCATTGTGGATTGAAACCACGATCACAAACCATGGGGTTACTTCAAGAGTAATAAATAACAGTAGATGAATATTGAAATTCAAACGCTTTGCACGCTCTATAGCCAATACTAACCACATAATGGTACCATATTGTTCGAATAGATGCAAAATCAGTATACCCTAATTGTAATGGATCCCAAATCTAACTGAATTTCTCTAAGTGTTGTTTTATGTGTGCAATACGCGTTGAGGTCGAGCTAATAAGGTATATTGCTAACAATTGGGTCTGTTAGTCCCATTACTAACAATCACCTTTCTCCTTGTGGAACCTGTTGGGCAACACAGTCCTCGAGAGTGAAATTGAAAGCGCTGTGAAGGAAGCAGAAAAACAAACGTGTACCGCTCTCCTACGGGAGCATCCGACGTACAGCGGGAACTTTGACTCATTTTCATCTCATAAATCTATGACCTGAAGTATAACATAAAACCGTTTTATTAATTCCTCATCTATACCAGTGATTTCTGATGTACAATGATAATTTTGGAAAAATCTTCTGGCTGTATTGCCGTCATTAGTGTTGCCACTAACTTGCTTCGGTTTATCTATATTTAATCCAAGTTCTTCTCTGAACCTTCTTTGTATATTAGCCTTCTTTTGCATTTTTAAATCTTTATTTTCTGCTGTTGTGGCAGACCATTATTCAAAACCTAGATTGTAAGATAAATGTAAAATAAGTTCCATAAATCTGATCCAACAATGTAAAGTTGAAAGGCCACATTAATAGAAAGTTTCATCGACAGGTTTGTTTTGTACTTTTTCTGAATTGTTCATCTCTGTCGGTTTTGCACCGCAAATGGTACATACAGCACTTGATAAAGTTTCTGACAAAACTTGAGCCACTTAGCCGTCAATCATAGTTAATTATAACGTGTGTTTTATTTCAATACCTTCGCCACTATGATTGATAAGGGAAGAATTAAGATCTAAAATTTGAGCATTAATCTCGTCGACTACCCTTGTTGTCTTCTCAAGTGTTGCCTTTGAAAATTCTATTAAGATTGGTCGGCAAAATCTTACTGATGATGGAGCAGGTTATTGCATAATACTTCATTCGAATTCAAATCAATAAGTCTCAGGGGCACTAATGATGATATAAACAAATTTGAATCGGAAATTATATCACTCTCTTCAGGCAGGACTTGCTTGTATTCGCTTTGTCCACTTGATCCATCACAACCCCATTTTGGAATGTAACATTAAGTGGATTGAACCAACCTTATAAACATCATTATTTTTTAGAAGTCTGGCTGAAGTGTGATCCAAAAGATCTTGCAGTTAATTTCTGCTTTAACATTAGTAATTTCTATATATGATTTTGGCGGATAGCACGATTCTTTAGTTTCACGAATCAACTTATATGATGAAAACCATAAGCAATTCTTTGCTATCAAACAACTACTCATAATTTCATACTGTACCTTGTTCAGATTCAATTCTATAAAAATGTTAAGAGCTTCAACTTTTGAATATGTTGTTATATGTGCCGGTTCATTAAGTAGATTACTGCACATTTCACTCTTTTTTTTCTGCCAGCAATGCTCGTAAAATATCAACGATGAATGCTTCATCTACTTCACCATGTGACCTTAAACCCTGTATGTATGAGTTCAGTATGAAATCAAGTCCACAGGCATCAAGCAATTCCTTGTTTTTCCGTTTCTCTGAACTGTCTTCAAACGTTTTAGAATGTCTTCCTCTTTTCTCTGTCGAAGTAGAAGGATCAGGTTCGCATGTAGTTTTTTCTAGATTTACAGTTGAAATGCCATCCAATCAATTGCTATTTTGCTATATTTCTTAGCAATTGCTATATTTCCTAATAAATAAAACCAAAGTCAGAACTTCGGCAAGCTTCGGCATCTGTCAAATCTCCAACTCAAAGTTTGAGAAAAGAAAATAGTACATGTAACGATATATGGATCTTAGGTTAAGTAATATTCTACTAAACTAAATATATTTTAATAATAGTAAAGTACACATTCTAAGCATTCTAAAATCACACTCTATGACTTCTATTGTTTTGATACTATAAAAATATACCAAACGAATTTAAGTTATATAATTATTTTTGTATTTTTTTTCATTCCTTGACTTTAGATGCTGTTCTATGAAGGATGAATAGTCAGAGATTTGAATCATATTTATAACGATAGAGTAACTCTTTAGCTACAATTTGAGGTGATAAACATGCATATCCACGGAGTTTTAGAAAAAAGTATTTATGAGATGGCTTTCTTAGGCGAGTTCCCACTGTGCGACGACCCGGTTTTTTTAACGTACCAATTGAATTTTTTCTTTCCACAGTTCTTTTGTGTGATATTTTACATTTATCAGGTTAGCTAATTGTGATCAACGATCAAAAGGATACGTATTATATGTCAATTTGATATGTCTGGTGGGTGAGGATGAAAGTAGACAAATTACTTTTAAAATTCGTCACGATGGGCTAACTGACCTGCTTTCATCCTCACCTATCATCTCTCACTGGTGCCTCGCCAACGTACAAAAAATCATTTCCTATCTTTCAAGTTGAAGCAAAGAATAGACATTTACAAAATAAAAAAAAAAAACAATTGTTCGGTTTCGCAGATGAACGTTAAGGTTATTAACGACCATACCGTAGAAAGGGGCTATTTGCAAGTCGTGGGGTTAAATGGAATTTCTTAAATAAAAGATTTGATTATCTACGTATATTTTTTAGTTTAGCAATGAGTAGAATATTTGTTGTCACCTGGTAACACAACGACTATTGTCAATTTTTTTTTAATTTTTGAGGTTATAGTTAAGCATTACACGAGGCAGCAAGTGTTTAAAAAAAAAAAGAATTTTCGCTCTTTTTCGTAAGTATTTAACTTTCGTCTGACGCATGAAACATAGAAAGGTATGTACCATGCAAGTTAAACTATGTATACGTGTATTTTCCGTAGATTTCAGGGGTGTATGTTGCTATTTTATATCTCTGTCGAGCTAGCTACTGTTTCTACTTTTTGTGATTGGGGCTTTTTGAGATTGATTTTGGGGTTATTTGGAATATTATTTCAAATAGCCCCATCTAACAATTCTTTATGCATTAGTACGGGTTTGAGTGATGGTTTCAAATAGCCCCAAAAGTGCAAAAAAAAAATATTTAAGGGTAAGTCAGTTCCCAGTCATCAAATTAAATTCGGCAAAATACCTAATCTAAAAAATGGGACTAATATTCCCAGGAAAATTTATATAATGTCTTTAGGTGTGCGCAGGCTAGCATATAAGTCAGTGCCGACATTGAATAATTTGAAGTTGCGCCGTTATTTTCACGACGTTATATAAAAAATAAATAATAAAAAAAATATTAAAAAATAAAATATAATAATAAAATGAAAAAATAAAATCAAATTACCTATTAAAAATATATTAAAAAAATGTATAAAATAGTATATAAAATATTTTTTAATATAATTTATTATTTAAAATAATTTATATTATATAAAATAATTTTATTCTTTCCACACAGGGAAAATCAAGAAAAAATCATGTTGCGAACATATCAAAGGAAATATACCAACTCACGTTGCGGTAAAACACATCCACCATATCTAAGTTATTCTAAAGAAAGTTTAGAAAACGCAATAAAAGCCATTCAAAATGGTTTAATGAAATTAAAAGAGGCTTCCAAAAATTACAATATTCCAATGAGCACTTTGAGTAGGAAATCTAGAAACAAAAATTGCACGCAAGAAAAAGCGGGGCACCCAACTCTATTTTCAATAGAGGAAGAGAAGACTTTTGTAGAATATATACAATTACTGAGCCATTGGGGATTTCCTTTGGATACAACTGACTTACGAGTTTTGGTACTCGACTGTGATGATAAAAACAGTAAATATTACATTGGATTTATCGAAAATATTAAATTTGATGGACAAAAATATAATTACAGTGTTAATTTTTACAAAACTATTAAAAAGCCACAGCTTGCGTTTTGGATTAGCAAGAAAATTGATCGCGATGAAGTTGATGACATATGGATTGTGAAAAAAATTATTATGAATAATAATCCTATGAAGAAAAACGAGTTTCTTCTCGCTGAAGAAAGCGATATGGTGTATTTTTGAGATACTTTAAGCCACTTTATTTTTCCAGAATTTGTTTTTATGTTAAGCAAAATTTATAATCTTTTGTTATATTTTATAGCATTTATGTAGCTTTAACTAGGTATGTACCTAGTAGTTACTTTTATGTTTCTTTTCATAATGAAGATTATAAAATAATTTGATTAAAAATATATTAAGTATTTTTATTTATACCTATACCTATTACAGAATTAATTATATCTATTAGCTATCACGTAAAAATTGAAAACAGCCTCCCCTTAAGAATTCCAAATATTGCTTTACTTATAATAGGCACATCTTATTACATTTACTTCTAATTCCAAATAACCCCATTTTATTTAAAATAATAATTTTGTTTTCATGACTAACTTCATATAATTCACTATTTTCTTAACCGATAAGAATCAAATTGCGATAAACTTCAAGGCAGTCTATTCTAGAATAGTTCCAAATGTCTCTCTAACGGTTTTATTAAGCACAGTTTTATAAAATGTCAAAAATTGGTTAGCTTCTACATAGGATACCAAATAGCCCCAAAGTAGCAATATTT